TATATGCTTTTAATTACTTAGTTATAATTATTATTAAATACATACTTGTTCTTTTGGGGGGGGGGGGGGGGGGGGGGCGTTAAATTTTAAACTGAAGACCATTGGACTTATCTTCCCAATTGTGGCTTATCCCTTTGCTATTTTTTTATCTTGAACTTTTAAAATGATAGAACTTACAAAGCAGGTACTTTGAAACCATTTCTTTGTGTATATGTGAAATGCAAAGAAGAACTCAGAAGTATCTGAATACTCAAAAATTCATGCTGTTACTTTTACAAGCTGCTATTATTTGTTGCCCTTCCACAAAACAATTTAGCCAAAATTAAAACTACCTCCACTGTTGCCCCTAATTGGAACTGAGACCTTTTTCAGGTTTAGATTCAATAAGTCTTTCCTTCCTAGCTATCTCTGTCTCATAATTAATGCATTCTTTTATTTATACCTGATCTCTCCCTCCTTGTGTTGAACTTTTTGAGAGGGGATATTAATAATTTTAACCTCAGATAAGACCTGCAGGGTAGGAGTACCCGTGTGACCTTAATTAACCTTTCTGAGGCCTCTCTCCTCGTATAATGCTATTCTGAGACTTCTGCTTTTCTGTTTCCTTAACCTAAAACATGTATCTCAATAGGACCTAAATGTGAGAAATAATGTTGCCATGTATTGACAACTGTCGATCCTCTGGTGCACACGTAAGAGGTCTAGTCAGATACCTGATTAATCCATTTGTGGCTGACAGTCGCAATTTGAGAATGACACAGCATGTTATAAGTTTCACAGATGCATATGTTGTCTGAGTTGGAGTCCAAGATTACAACACGCTGCTTTCTTCTTTCTCGCCTTGCTTCTGTCCTTTGGATCAAAGCTGCTTCATGTTGAACTTGCACCCAGTGCCAGATGTTCCCTTCAGCCTGGGATTCTCCTCACTCCTTCCAGCTTTCTTCAGAACAATAAAAAGGCCTTATCTGTTGACAGTACTGAAAGTGTTCATCAGATCGATGAAGGCTATGTACAGTGGTATTTGTTTTTCTCTAGTTCTCTTGCAGTTGCTTGACTAAAAATACCACATCAATGATGGAGTGTCCTAAAGGAAAACCTCTTCGACTTTCAGGATAGATTCTTTCACCTAGAGATTGCCACTAGGGGAACATGATGCGAGTGACAATTTTTCCAACAGTGTTCAACCTTTGTAGTTGTCAATGCTTTTATCCCCTTTGTTTTTGTATAATTGTACAAACTACGCATCTTTGAAATCTATTTTCAAGAAAGGTCCTTGACATCAAAAATAGATTGAGCCTCTGAAACATGAGTAGGTGCCCTGAGATATAAGTTCCTGAACCTCTTCCCAATGTACAATAGTGAGGCTGTCTTGTGGGCTATCTCCTCAAAGCAGAATAATGACCCTCCCCCTCAGCAAGTTTCTTTTTCAATGCATCTTGATTTTAATATATGCTTGGCATGTATTCAGAATCCATCCTAATACTCCCACATATACTGAAATTCAATACCCCATGTGCATGTGCAATTTATTTCTTCCCGAGCATACTAAAACTATTTACTCTATCTCTGCAACTGATTCCCTCAGTGCGGAAGATTCACTTATTGTAAAAGGCCCCGTCTCCTTTGTGATGAATTTGCCTTATGTGAAAGAGACAAGGAGGCTTAATGATTACAGAAGAGGAGAACAATAAAACATTTTCTGCTGTATTCTTGCCCTAGTAACAAAGGGTAAAGCTGAGGATGTGGACGCACATACATTTGGAGCAGTTTCAGAAGGGGAACATTTGAAAACAGCAACAGCTTTTACTTTCTAACTGGATATAGTGGCTGAGAATACAAAGGTAACAACAACACTCTGACTTCACTGCTTCATCCGGTGTTAAAGTTGGAGCAGTTTAACTATATTTTCCCTTTTTGAAAAGGCTCCAAATGTATTTTGTCCACACTCTAAAGTATTATGGATGTTACTGTTTCAGTAACTGGATACTTACTTTCCTGTGATAAAGGTGTAAGTGCCCTTCAATCCCTGGCCATCATGTGAATGGCCCAAAATTGTCACTTGGCTAAGCCAGCATACTTAACTCTATGAGGTCCAAATTGATTGTGGGAAGGGGAGTGGAGTATGGTGCATATAAATGCTTTGCACAAGCTTGAAGCTGGCTGAAGACCTTGCTAAATATTTTCTATATAAAATTAATTACTTTCTTGTGAAGCATTGCATATTCCTTTGTCACTCTGAGACATACCTAGATTCCTTGCCAGATAGACATGAAAATCTCAGCATAAAGATTTCTCTGATAGTCACAAGTGAAAACTGGTTTAATGCTTGATACTAGCAGAGAATTGGTTAAAGTTGTTCAATTCTTAATTTGTGTAAAAAAGACTGCTTGCAAAATTTATACACACTAGAACTGGATTAGAGAAGGCCATGGCAGCCCTTTTATCAGACATTTTGTTCATATTGTAAGTATGCAGTAGAGAGTTTGTTTTATATGTACAGCCTTATGTCAGATTTCCTTTGTGATCTGTTGACTTCAGTTGCATCACTGGCCCTTTTAATGCAATGTTCCCATTTATCTTGTATTGTGCAATACATACTACCTGTTGTCTGTCCACTTAAGTGTCATACTGACGTGTTCTCAGGCTGCTGATTTGTTGTTTAATGCTTTAATTGTAGTGTATTCTGACTTTAAATGTTTTTTCCTCTATAGAGTGAAAGAATAGACTTCACTGTGAAATTGGTGTTTGTCACCTGCTATGAAAATGACAGATGTAGCCAACCATTTTAAAACTCAGCTGATAAGATTCTTGAAAATTAAGTCAATAAACTGTATGTATTCTAGGTGTTTCACGTGGTCCCAGCCCTGTCAGCCTTGGAAACCAGGACACCTTGCCTGTTGCAGTAGCCCTTACTGAATCTGTTAACGCCTACTTTAAAGGAGCAGATCCCACAAAGTTAGTTAACTGTTGTGGATGTAATGAGTTATATTAAGAAAGCAAATTGATTATTTTTATTTTTTCCCCTCTTTCTTTTGGGAGGTGGTGGGGTGGTGGTAAACTTTTGAAAATAGGGTATATTTGTAGAAATGTACAAGTCATTGCCTGGGTACAGTTCAAGTAGGTTCTGTATGTAAATTCTCCCAAACAGCTCTAAGCACCTCATTCTCTGTGGTGGCAAGCATAACTGTCCAGTAAGACTTCTTTCTGTATGCTTAATCCATCAAAACCTCATTCAATTTTAAAATCGTGTTCCAAGAGGTAAAAGGAAGTAATGCATGAAGTCGTGGTGTCTCCTTACCCTCATTTTAAATTAATTTGTATTTTAGCCTTTTTAATTTAAAATTCAGAAATGTGATCTAAGAAAAAAATACAAAAACGTTGCTGTTCTCTCCTTTTTTGTTCTAGATGTATTGTGAAGATCACTGGTGATATGACTGTGTCGTTCCCAAGTGGGATTATTAAAGTATTCACTAGCAACCCATCTCCAGCTGTACTCTGCTTCAGGGTAAAAAACACAAGCAAACTAGAGCATATTCAACCAAATGCACAACTTGTATACAGGTTTTGTATTTTTTTTTTTTACCTAATAGTAATTGTGATGATAAAATGTGAAATGTTGCATTGCTTTTTAAAATTCTTTATTGCCCTGTTCATCTATTTCAGGGGTAAGAAATTATTTGGACCCAAGGGCTCCACAGGCTGTTTTGGTGAGCTGTCATGGGCCAGATCAGCACCCTTTCTCCCCCACCCTCCCAGTGCATGTGCGTGCAGAACAGTGCATCAAAACTCCCTATGTGGGGTGGGGCCCCAGACAACAGCATTCAGGAGGAGGGCAGGCAGGCAAAGCTGGGATTCTAGGGCAAGGTCAGAGCCATGGTCTGCTGGCTTCACACCCCGTGATGGGCATGGGTTCTGTAGCCAGGGTTGTGCACGGAGTGGACCTCAGCTCTGCCCTGCATTATCACTGCCCCACAATCCTGGCTCCAGCCCGGAATGCAGCTCCCTGCCTGCCCATGCACCCTGCCCACATAGTTGCCTGGAGCTGCATATGGGGCCAGGCCAGGATATTGGAGCCATGGCAGTGTGGGGCTGGGGCAGAGCTGGAAGCAACTGCTGGGTCTTGCCGGGGGCCCACAGCGTCCACAAGGAGGAGAGGAGGCCTGTGAGCAATATGGAGGAGGCTCGGGAGGCCGACGTGGGCAGGCAGGGGCAGGGGACAGCCACATTTCACCACTGAGCCTGCCAAGTGGGGGAAGACTTAACCTCCCTCCCCCTTCCCCTTGCCCATGCCCTCCCTCAGCCTGCAGGTCGGGGAGGGAGGAGCTGGGCCCTGAGGCTACCAGGCACTGGGAAGCAGTGGCCAGGGCTAGGGGAAGCAGGAAATGCTGAGGCAGTCCCGTCCTGTGTCAGCCCGCATCTCACCCCGGGATGTTGATGCAGGATGCCTGCTGGCTCAGTGTGGAGTGCAGTGGCATGGAGCGGAACAGTGTGGGGACAATGGCAGAGGCAGTAGTCACAATGAGGGCACTGCATCCGAGGCCAGCCCCAGATGCAGCTCCCTGCCCAGCTGTGCGCCTTGCCCATTTGGCTCCTAGCCAGCCTCCATGGAAACCAGCCCCTACAGTGCCCTCACTGAGGTACTCATGACTGCCATGTCCCTCATGCCACTCGGCTCCACACTGCTATGCCCCATACCAAACTGGTATGCCCCTGACCTCACTGTCAGCAGTGTAGAGATTATACTCAGTGGAAATTGTATATTGGGAATATAATAACTAAAATGCAAAGGCTGGCTTAAAAATATGGTTGTATGAACTTTTGGATGTTTCTTTACACAGATTTTATAGTTTAATGTTTTTATAAAGACTTTGAAAAATTAAAAGTAGTATTTTCTATATGCATTGTATGAACAGCATACCTGGTTATAAATGCCATCAATAACATTTAAAAGTAAAAAAACAAAAAAAAAAACAAAAAACAGTTTTGCTCTTTTAGAGCATATTGCAGGAGCTCTCTGTTTTACACAACTTTTGTGGACAAGAAAGAGTTTGGTTGGGAGGTGGCAAGTTGAGGTTGCTGGTTTAGTTTGCTTGTTTAAGTTACAACAAAGGCACCTATACTAATATAGGTCCATTTTTGTATATTTTATTGTCCGTCACTAACTCTTCTAGCATGTCTGAGATTTCGCATCAGAAGTATTACTATTGAATTCATTTTTGCATTCTGTGTACCAGATACTACCACTTGGGTATCACAAGTGTACGTATAGGTGTTGCAGATGAGTTCTGCACCTTGGTATGGTGGTGACAAACATTTGCCTTACCCTAAGAGCTTTGTGAGGCATCCAACCTCCCCCATTGTGCTGTTCCTTTTTAAGACTATAGTATGGTTCTCACAGCTTGGCTGGACAGTTTGTGTTGGGGCCAGAGGAAAGCTAAGTCAAGACTTTTTTCTCAGAAGGTCTTCCCAGAAGGCACAACTTTGCTTCCCTGAGTGTAGGTGCTGTGGTTGAGGACATGTTTTATATAGGCCAGGGAAGGGAATGAAGGTTTTTAGTGCCTCCCCACACTATGCAGTAGCAGAAAATACAGGCTACAACACAGTTATTTGTGATTTTACAGACTATAGCTTTGTTGTTCTTGAAGCTATGAAAGGCACTTGCTAGTGCCAAGTCCAGTAAAACTTTTGAAAGTTAAAATAAACTGGTCTTGAAGAAAATATTCCTGAGAAGGAAAACCATTTCTTTTGTGCTCCAGTAATTCAAAACTTGAAGCATTTGTGCACATACCTATCTTACATACACGTTCCAGGGCAGAAGTTGTGTTTCAATGGAATTATGTTTGAGAGTATACATGTTTAAAAGCAAAAACATTTACAGTGCTGTTATTATCTGAAAAAAAAAGTTTTATAAACCCAGAAAGTTTAGAGTAGAAAGTTACACCTTAAAGGCTGCATTTAAAAGAAATCCAAGTATATTGAGATATGAAAAAACAGTTACAGCTTCCCAATGACCTTGACTCAGCCATGTAGCAATCCTATGTTGTAACAAAAGGTTTGTGATTAAGGCATTTTTGTGTTCATAAGTAAATTATTTTAGCATGGCCCTTTTCTCCTCATGGTGTCGCTGTAGAGCAAGCTGTTTTATATTAAAAACAAATTCCATTGAAAGCAGAGTCCCAGCTGCAGCCTTAAATATGATGGTGCTGGCCCTCAACTATAATCCAGAAGAGAGAACTTTCATCGACTACTACAAATATTTAGTTTGCCTACATATTTCGGAAGTGCAAATATGTTTTATTTTGGAATATTAGCACTTATTCTTGTTTTCAGAAGCCTGTTCAAAATAAAGAAAAGGGTCCACTTTTAAATGAAGACATGCAAAGTAAGAAAATTTAATTTTGTATTTCTGATTCCTGCCTTCATTTTTACATGTAGTGATCAATCACAAAGCGACTCCAGTACAAAAGACTTTTGGATGAACATGCAAGCTATAACTCTCTACCTCAGGAAGTTATCAGAGCAGAATCCATCTGCTTCCTATTATAATGTGGATGTTTTAAAATATCAGGTACATATTTTTATTTTTTGGAGGATTTTTAGAAGAACTTTTGTTGATTTCAATTTTACAAACTGCCTGAGCTAGTTTTACTTGCTCATGTAAAGATAGATCATCATGGTCTTTCTGAATGCATCAGAATGTATGCTTACTGTAGGGGTTGACCTGCTGAATGTGGGCCCGTCATATTTTCTCCCTCTTGTTTGGCGTAAGGACTTTGGTTTGCTTCTGCTTACTCCAAACTTGATACTTGCACAGGGTTCCATCATTGTCCCCTTTCCCCTCTGTGGGCCTTCACAACGAGGCCTTACAGAGAGCTTGATTGTATTTCTTTTGGTCTGAAACAAGGTAATATCACATCTGATCAATTCCAAAACGTTAAGAATTGTTCTTAGCATCAGTAGGCAAACCCTTATGGATTCTAGTAAAAATGGGAAAAATCAAAGTCTGTCAGTGACACTTTAAAGTTTAAATCTGTAACACCACAGAAGCTCAGTATACATAAACTACTTTCACAGTGGCCAAAACCAGTGTAATTTAAACCTGGATGGATGTAGGTATCATACTTAGCTGATTTAGGTTAAATCAGTTTATTGAACTTCTGTTCCAGATCCCCTCCAGATTCAAGTCAGCTTGCAGTGCCCCAACATCCCAGGATGCTTTGGACCTCCCCTGCAAATCCCACCTCATGGGGTTGGTGGGCTAGCCTTGACCCAAGCTCTCCAGTCCAGACAAGCATGGAGGCATGCTCTAGAGCACCCCCTCCACCCCAGCTTCTGGCCTAGGCCACTGCAAGCATGTGGCTGCACTTCTGGAATCAAAAGCGAATGTCTGTTCATTTGCTTATTGGTTCAATCTATACAGTTCAGACTAACCAGTGAAGATTGAATTGATTCAGCCTTGGGCTTTTTGATGTCTGCACTTAGCCATGGTGTGATTACTGTATCATTAATGCCATAAATAGTAGCAGTGATGCACATTCAGCTGATCTATGGTGCCTTAAAGTGGCAAGCCAGCCACAAAGATACTCCACAAAATGTGTGGATCATTTTTGTTGCTCATTTATATAATGCAGTAAACTGAATGTGTATCATTTCCCCCATCCTAATGCTGATAATCAGCTGATTATTGGCTTCAGATGGGTCAGCATTAGGACTAGGACAGCTCTGGTTCTAATACCAAAACTGGGTTCTCCCCAGTAGGAATCTGGCAACCCCCACAGCCAGCAACCTTTTCTGCCACCTGTGGGGACTGCAGGGCAAGGCATTTTAAAAAGTTGGGGTGTAGGGAGATGGGCTGCAAGTATGGGTTTTAGATATTCCAGGGCTCTGGCTCCTGAAGGTTGTTGGCACTGAATTTATAACCCAGATATCGTGCTCTCCATTCAATAACAGGCAAATTTTATTGATACACAGTGATAGCAAATGAGAATAATGCCGGCAAGATGGGCAAAATAAGCCCCCTCTCTAATTCTATATTTACCAGTCCTAGGGCTGTCGCAGAGTACATCTGGCCAGTATGCAGACTTCACCCTGTGGTTCTTTCTTGAATGTCAGAAGCCTGGAGGTCAAGGGCTGAGGCCCACCCCCACCCCCATGAGATAGATGTGTGCCCTCTGTCCATGGTGGTCTCAGGGTCCCCCTTCAGGGGCCCGTTGCTGCTCTGAAATTCCTCCTATTCTTTCTCCCCTCTGATGACTCCTCATTCATGGGTACCATTGATTGTTTTTCCTGTGGTTGTCATGCTGCCCGTGTTCTGTTCTGTCAGCATATTCTTTTGATTCCCAAACCCATCACAAGCATACATCTTTATTTGGTTATTTACTGGTGTCTTAATTTGGTCTATCCACCAAAACTGGAAATCCCAAAGGCTCTGCAGCTAGTCACTGTGACCTGGCCACCGCAGCGGAGTCCCATATCCCTGTTATGGAACAGTGTGGTACATCTTCAGTTTCCCAGCCTGTGTCTGCTGGCTTCAGACAGTGGGCCTTGAAGGAAACTTTGTCACAAACAGGCTTTTAGAAACCAGTAAACCCTTGTCATTCCCTTAGACCATTATTCTAATGCATATCTACTTTACCTACAAGCCAGTTTCCAAAAGCAAATGTCTAAATAACATTTTCTAGCCATCAGGGATTCTCTTGAACCAGACTGGGGCTGCCCAGGACCAATCAGTTGATTGTCATTCCCAGCCCTAGATGTCAAACTGTACCTGGAGCTGTTCCAGAGCTGCCAAGGGCTGGGCTCACAACCAGCTGATTGTCAGTCCCTCATGCATCCTTGCAGGCACTCAGCTTTCAATTTGCTGGTGCAGGTGAGCTTGGGATCACAATCTTGGGCTCCCTCAATACTGAAAATTAAAAAAGATACAATTGGGATTTGATCCCTGATCCCAAAATAGCACCTGCTGCCATGTACATCCCTTTTCACCATTAAATGAACATGTTAGGGGCTTAAGGAATGAAGGGGTCCAGAGAGCTGCTCATGAGTGTAGGGAACTCAGCTAAACAAGCAGTAACATGCAACCCTCTAGTGACTGGAAAATATTGCTTCTAAACTTATGCTGAATACCTGTGCTGTGATTGCTAATTATCCTTTGCTATCTGCTGCTTAGTTGGTTAGCTCAGGATGTCACATGGCTTGTAAGGGTAAAATAGGACATCTCCAGGCACCTTCCTTCAAATATACAATGCAAAAGACGACATTAAACTGACCCCAGTATTTTGTCCTGGAAAAGACAAAGAGAGAAGGAGATTTGGGCACTGTGAGAAGTAACTATTGAAAACAAACAAATAAAAGACTGAGCTAACATTAGCAAAAGACAACCAGAGAAATTATAAAATAAAAGCCTCTGAAGCCTTGCTTCAGTCATGTTTCCAAATAACCCAACAGTGCTGCCTTTAGGTATAAAGCAATATATATCAGTTTAGTGCAATTAAGTGAGGCTTTCTGAATTCACTGGTGGGGGGTGGGTAATAAAAGGCCTTAATGATTATTAATTTTCACTTCTCAAATATAATCTTTATAACCTTGTTGTTGCTACCACGGTTCCATAGTTCTGTCAGCAAGTAAAGAATCTTTTATTGTTATAAATGTTTTACTTTCTTAAAGGTATCTTCAAATGGCATCCAGTCCACTCCCTTGAATCTTGCTACCTACTGGAAATGCAATGTAAACACTACTGATGTTAGAGTGGATTATAAATATAACCCAGAGTCTATGACTGTGCCCAGTACGCTATCTAATGTACAGGTTGTGGTACCAGTTGACGGAGGAGTAACAAACATGCAGTCACTTCCGTATGCAAAATGGTAAATGTGTTGCATTTTTATTGTATCTTTTCTGACTGTTTCAGATCACTGGAATTAAATTTGTTCTTTTGATAGGAATTTTTCATTAACTTTACTCTTGGTAACCTGAGGAACACATTCTCTAAGCTAATGGCTATTTCATGTTGCAGAAAACTACTTTAACCACCAAGCTGTTATCTACATTTAGCTGATGTGGGCTTTTAAAGCTTGAAGTGAAGTCTAAAGTCTGTTTTAGAAGAACACTTCTATCATTCCTCCTGCACTACCTTTTCTTCCTCTCACTTCTCTCTCAAAAGCCAGTCACCTGTGCAGAAATAATTTTATGAAAAGCCAGATTACTTCTCCAGTAACGAGTTCTTTAAATTCATTATCTCTACAGGGTCCGTTCCCCAATTTTTTCTGTTTTTATACATTTTTCCAGACACACTTCCCTGCATTAGTAGGTGCATCATGAGCAGGTTTAGGGAGGTGATATTTCCCCTCTGTGTGGCATTGCAGCTGGAGTACTGCATCCAGTTTTGGGCGCTGCACTTCAAGAGGGATGTGGATAACCTGGAAAGGGTTCAGAGGAGGGCTACTCATGTGGTTGAGGGCCTGGAGGTAAGATCCTATGAAGACAGACTGAGGGACCTGAATCTCTTCAGCCTTCACAAGAGAAGGCTGAGAGGTGAACTTGTGGCTGTCTACAAACTCATCGGGGGCCAGCAGGGAACAGGGAATACTTTGTTTACCAGGGCGCCCCTCGGGGTTACTAGAAATAATGGACATAAACTCAAGAAGAATAGATTTAGATTGGACATCAGGAAAAAACATTTTCAGTGAGGGTGCTTTCCCTTACCTTGAAGGTGTTCAAAAGGGGATTAGACAAGCCCCTGGCTGGGGTTACTTGACCCCAGAGCTCTTTCCTGCCTAGAGCAGGGGGTTGGACTCGATGATCTAATAGGTCCCTTCTAACCGTAGAAATCTATGACAATTGAATTTAGGGCAGGAAAAAGAGCATTTGACTTTTTCCAACCTGTGTCTAGATACTAGTCTACTATTCTACATGCGTCTTCCACGTAGGACATACCTCAAAAACTGTTATTGGTAAGTAACATGGATTTCTCTTACAGGAATGCAGAGCAGATGAAAGCTTACTGGAAAATATCTAGTATCTCAGAAAAATCAGAAAATGGAGGTAAGTGTGAGAATTGTGTTGGTAATTCTTATAGAAAAAATATTTAAACATTCATACCATTGTCTCTTCTATTTTGCTTCTTCCTCACCTGTGCCTATGTCATTTTCCACGCCACCTAAGAATCCCAAAGCTTCAAGAAGTGTATATGTGCATCTGAACGCATGTCTGTCTGTGATCATAAACTGCTCAAGATAGAGCCACTGCATTTTAAGTCTTATAAAGCGTAAGTCAGCACTTAACAATAATACAAAAGGAATGAAATTATTCACAGTCTTCATTTTCTTAGTGACTATGGAAAAGTAAACTGACCCATAATATAAAAACTAAGATATGCAAGTACAGGCAGTCCTCAGACTTACGACACAAATGGGTCTTGAAAACCGTGTCTTAAGTCAAAATGTTGTTAATTGGGAACCAGTTTTTGCATAGGAACAGTGTTACAGGTGGGGGATTGGTTCCTTTATGACAGTCAATACTGTGTGCAGCTGGTAAGTGGAAGGGGAGTGGGAAGGGACATGGGGGGGGTAGATCAACACCCCCTGTGGAGAGGGAGGGACTGGAGTCAGGCAGGCACGGGGAGGGGGTCAGCTCCCGCCACTGCGTGCTCCTCGACTGGCAGTTCCAGGAGGGCATGGGAGGTGTGTGCCCCGGATCTGCACAGGGTGGGGTGGGTGGTGTTGGGACTGCTCCAGGCGGGCAGCAGTGGCTATGGCAAATTTTCAGGTGGCTGCAGCCCCCCCATAGCCCCCACTTTGCCCCCCCCCCGATCTGGGGGCACATGCCCTCCATGCCTTCAAAACTGCGGCTCATCCAGAAGACATGGGGAGGGGGGGCAGCTTCCACTACTGGGTACCACTTGTCCAGAGGCAGCAGAGCGGCTCTGCGCAGTGCCTGTCCCACCCTGGCTGGGCGAGTGGTGGGAAGGCATGGAGGGTGTGTGCCTCCAGATCAGGGTGGACAGCAGAGCAGGGGCTATGGAGGTGCCACAGCCACCTGAAAATTCACCATAGCCCCCCACCCAGAGCACAGCCCAGTGCAGTCCCAGCCGTGCCCCACCCTGCGCAGATGCAGGGCCACACATCCCCCCACGCCCTTCTGGACCAGTAGTGGGAGCAGTGGCGGGAAATACTGGGC